GGCTTTGCATCTTTTTCCAACATTCTAGAACTGTTTAAACCAGTAATTCTCAACTGGAGTCAGTTTTGCCCCTCAGAGGGCTTTTAGAAATATGAAGAGAAATCTTTGGTTGTCACAGCTAGGGTAGGGGCTCCTATTGACATTTTGTGGGTAAAGACCAGGGATGCTACTAAAAACATCCTACGTAATGCACAAAACAACAAAGAATTATCTGGCCCAAAGTAATAGTAGTGCTAAGGTTGAGAAACTGGTTTAAATAAGTATCTGAGCTTGATCTGTTTTTTGGGATAAGTCTTTGTCTTTTCTTTTCTATGTATTTGTTCAGATTTTCTATTTGTTCAATCAGTTTTAGTAACATTAGATGCTAAGAAAAAAAAATCAGTTATACATTTGGTAGGAGCTCTGATAGTGTAGTATCTAAGATACTTGACTGCTAACCAGAAGGCCAGCAGTTCAAACCTACCAGCTACTCCTTGGAGGAAGGTTGGGCAATCTACTTCCGTAGTGATACCCCCTCGGAAACCCAAGAAGGGGTCGCTATGAGTCGGATTCGACTCGATGGCAGTGAGTTTGGTTTTTTTGCCTTAATTATTCCCCTGCTTGCTTTTTGTTTATTTTACTTTTTTAGTTTACTGGAGCAATGTGATTTGAATTGCTTTTTAAATAAATTAATTTTATTTTGAGTGCTATTTGCTGTATTGTATAAGTTCTGAAATTTAGTATATTTTCTAAATTGTTTGATACCATCTTTTGTTCATAATGCTCTTATTATTTAAAACTTTTTATTTTGAAATATAACATGTACTGAGAGATAAATAAAACATAAATTCAGTGTTAAACAAATAATTACAGAGAATGTTTGGGAACTCCTACCCAGGTACCATGCAGGTCAAGAAATAGAACATAGAGACATTCTGTAGGCCCCTTCTAGGTCACCATCCCATATGTTTTTCATATTTTTCTCTAGTTTAATCATCTATGTATGCATCTCTGAACAATATAATGTAGTGTTGCCTGCCTAAGGCATTTGCTAACCAGAAGGCTGGCGGTTCAAACCCACTAGCCACTCCTTGGAAAGAAGACTGGGCAATCTACTTCCGTAGAGATACCTCCTTGGAAACCCAAGGGAGGGGTCGCTGTGAGTCGCAGTGGACTTGACGGCAGTTTTATATATTGTTGCATGTCTTTCTTTTGTTTAATGTTGTGTGTGAAATTCATTAGCTGTGGCTCTTTTTCTTTTTTTTTTTTTCCTGTATTTATCCATTGTTTGAATACACATTAACATGTCTATCCATTTGACTGGTTAAGAATATTTGGGTTGTTTCCAGTTTATTTGCTATTAGGAACAGTGCTACCATGATCACTCTTGTCCATATTGCATGGTATACCTATGTAAGCAACATACCTGGGGCACATACTTAGGAATTGGATGAACATGTGGTTAATTCCCACTTTGACCCAAGAGTTATTTAGGGAAAATTTTTTTTTTTTGGTAACATTTTTCAGGTGGCATCTGAGCTATTTCAATTTTTTTCCTATAGTCAGAATATGACCTGTGACTTCTCAACTGCATTATTAACAATTGCTTAAGCTTAACCATTGGTGTTACTGTTGTCTTTGCAAATAATAGATTGTTTGTTACATTCTATGCTTTTACTGTGGCTTTTTTTTTTAATGTCCCTGAAATATATATCTGAATAATGTCCTATATTATTGTTTTTTTACCATAAGGGATTTGTGGGGATGTGGATGGAAAATGCTCCTTTGAATACTCACTGTTTTTAATCATTCATTCAACAAGTAGGAATACCTATTCTGTATATTCTACTTCAGTGCTGAGGGTCCAGTGGTGAACAAACACAGGTATAACTCCCATCCTGATGCAGCTGGACACAGAATTCTGAGGTCATAATTGAGTCTTTCCCAAGTTCTTTACAGTTTTCATTATCTTCTGATACTTATTTTTATAGATGAAAAGTCTGATGCCTGTATGATTCTTAACTTCTTTTTGTATGATTTATTTTTAATTTCTGTAAGTTTGTATGGTTTCTTTGTAACTGTGAGGTATGTGATTTTACCTTGTAGCATTTCTTTGGATCATTCAGAGCTACTTCTGAAGTTTTTCTTTAGCTCAGCAACAATTTTTCTTTTATTTCTTGTCTTCTATTCCTTGGATGAATATTGTATCTCTGTATTCCTGCCCTCTGTATCTCTTAACTGTTCTCTTATTTGTGTGTCCATTTTTGCCACATTCCAAGACAATCCCACAATTTAGTTGTCCTTTTCATCATAAATGCCTTGTTCAGCCAAGTCCATTGTGCTTGCTAGCCCTTCTAGAGTGGTTTTTATTTTTGTGGTTTTGGAAAGGAGAGAAGATCCTATTTTTAATTTAATTTTTTTTTCATTAATGTTGCTATGGGTCACTTGTTCTGCCTGTTTATTTTGGTATTTTTTGATTACTAGTTTTCTTCACATAATCTGGTGATACTTGGTTACCTGCTAATTTATAGTTAAGGTATATTGTTGATCAGTATCAATTGTTGATAGGGGTGTCCCTGGCAATTGTGAATGCCATCTTTTCTGCTGTGGCCTCCCTTTCCTGGTTTATAGCCCTGCGCTCTGCCTGTGGCATATGGATGGTGATGTGCTGGCAGATGGGCTTTCCTTCATGTTGGGCAGTGGGTCTGGCTGCTAGTCAATCCAGATACCACCACGTACCCTGACTAACTCCTGAGTAAACAGAAGAGAAAGTGTTACGAGATTTTGCTGTTGCATCGAACTACCTTAAAAAAACAAATGAAAAAGTCTGTCTTTTCTCTGTGGTTTTGACACCCATATTAAGAGCTCATCAAGGTAGGCCTCCTACATAAGAGAGTGATCCTTACTAGTTGTAGTTGGGACAAGCATAGTAGAGCAAACACAATAGAGTGCGGGATGTTGTTCCAGCAGTCTTTTTGGCAGCTCTCTGGTCTGTTTCACTTCCCTATCTCATTGTCTTTGAGGTAGTAATTCTACTAGGAAAGCCATCCTGCTAACTTCCAACTTACCCAGTGGTCCCATGCATTAACTGGATTGCCTTGCGGTTTCCTCAAGATCATTTGATTCCATCTACTTTATGTCTTCTAATATGTCCTTATAGTTTTTGGTTCACTGATGATACACCCTTCTTGTTTTTGTTGTTTTTCCGGTGCTGCAATAGACTTACTCTTTCTTGTAAAATTATTTGGTGTAATTTCTTGTGAAAATTATTCTGTGGTGTTTTGGAAATCAGGCCACATATTTAACTGAAATTAATCTTAGGATTTCAGAACCCTATCTGCTTCTGGTGGGAGCTCTGATAGCATAATGGCTAAGACACTTGCCTGCTAACCAGACGGCTGGCGGTTCAAACCCACCAGCCACTCCTCGGAAGGAAGGTTGGGCAATCCTACTTCCGTAGTGATACTGCCTCGGAAACCCAAGGAGGGGTCGCTATGAGTCGGGGCCGACTCGATGGCACATAACAACAACAACAACAACATCTGCTTCTGGTAGCGTAGTGCCTAAGGCATTTGACTGCTAACCAGAAGGCTGGTGGTTCAAACCCACCAGCCACTCCTTGGAAGGCAGGTTGGGCAATCTACTACTATAGTGATATTGCCTCGGAAACCCAAGGAGGGTTCGCTATAGGTCGGATCTGACTTGACTGCTGTGTGCTTTATCTGGCTTTGGGACCTCAACTTTCACATTTGTAAAATGAAGTACTTGGACTAAATTGATGGCCACAGACTGGGCTGCATGTCAGAATCCCAGAAGAGCTTTTTAAAAACAGATTCTCTGGGGGTGGACTTTGAAAATAGCATTTATAAAATGCTGTTTCAGTATTTGATTCACCCTACTCCTGTTGGGAGCTTAGTCTTTTCTTTAAAAAAAACAATCTGTTTTGGAATGTACATTTTAGGGAAAGGATGAAGAGATGAATCACAGCATTTTGAGAGCTTGCTTGCTTTTCTCATTTAGTTTCTAGGAGATGAATAACAGATGTCTGAATAGATGCAAATTTAAAACAAATAAAAGTTTATTCTGCATGGGCATGAGTCTCCCCTCACCTTGCAGAATTCTCCAGCTCAGTAATCCAGGATAGTTACACCCTCTAAGATAATGGTTTTCTCAAGAATTGTGTCATCAGAGGATTTGAGAACAGATCCCTAGATACTGCTGAGATCTTTGTTGGTCTGATTTGATCTTTGGATCTTAGTTGTTTTGACCTTTTAGGTATTCTCAGCCCTAATTTGAGCCCAGCTTTATAGTCAAAGATGTAACTAAATACTGTGTTCTGGAGAACTACACTCTGGTTCAGGAGATCTGTCTTTTTGAACTCTGCCAAAAGTAGATATGACGCCTCTTCTTAAAATGCCATCAGATGTATTTGTGAATGAGTGGCAAATTCTGTCTCGTAGAGAAGTTTTCTGTGGTAGATACATGTTTTTTTTAAAAATGTTTTTTAAGTGAAGTTGTGATCATTTTATAATAAATTTTGTGAAGAGATTTACAAATGTCTCTTCTTTTATAGCACATTTGACCTTTGAAAATGTAAGGCAGTTGAATTTATGGAACAATTCGGGCTTTTTGTAGTTTTAAGAGGTAGATATTTTAAGGAATGGGTGGTTTTGTTACTGATTTTAAATTAAAAGCTACTGATCTTATATGTGTAGCCATATGTATAAAAATACTTTCTTTAAGTTATTTTTTAAATTTCAGTTTTGCTTTATATTTGATCAATTACCTTTGTTTATTCCTAAGACATTACGTTGGATTGTTCAAAGTTGTTTCTACTTGACAAATCAAAGCAAGACTTAAAAAAATAAATTTATTAACTTTCATAAGCTCTGTTTGTTAGTGGAACTGCAGTGACAGATGATTGAGAGTCTTTCCCTAAAGCTGTAGCACCAGTCTTCTGATGAACTCAGTGAGTGCTTACTTGTTCTGTATAGCCCTGGCAAATTCTTTCTCCATTTCAGAATGGGACAACAGAAGAAGTGACTTCCGATGAGGAGGAGGAGGAAGAGATGGCTGAAGTAGGTATTTTATGTAAGAATAACATTTTATAAATATCTTTGTTTCTGAACATTTTGGTAATTTTCTAATCTTTGATAAAGCAGAGTGTTAATGTAGAGTAATGAACAGCACATTGTATTTGGAATTGAATGTAATTTCTAAAATCTGGCTCTATACCTAACTAATGGTAAGTCTTTGAGTAAATTGCTCATCTGAAAGCCTTGGGTTTGATTACTTGGAAAGTAAGAGCTCTTTAACATTCTTTAGCACAAAAATTATATCTGTGTTTAATAATAATCAATACTTAATCTGTATTTGGTTATTTTTAGGAAGAGGAAACTACTGTTTGAATAAAAGAAGTATTTGAGAACATTTCAGGGACTACTGTATTTTTACACAGATAACTCATGCCTTATGCCGGAAGTATTTTACTTAATTTAATCATTTTCACATATTATTTATGTAGGCATGTTATTTACATTCTGTGTTATTTGCAAAACAAACAAACAAAAATACCAATGCGGTACTCACTGAACATAATGAAACTATCTGTTTTGAAAAATCACCTAAGAAGTTAGGAGAGCAAATTTCAAAGATCATGACCTTTGGCCAGTTGTTAGTCAAGCACTGATAACATTTTACAGCTTTTCAGATTTTGAAGCTTTGCATTTAAATTTAAACTTCAAAATGAAATTCTGTGTGTCTGCATTGACCAGATAAAAAGTATATTGGTTACATAGTCTCAGTTTCAAGTACTATTTTCTGTTTTGGATCTTAAAATGAATTTAGGTTACTATCCTATCTTCTTGATTTGAAGTTTCCTTAATATAAAAAATGCTTTTCAGAATGCCTCAGGACTAAAGTGGTTGTGATTTAAGTTTTGTTTCAAGAATTTGGGAATAAAATAGTTATTATCTAATTAGAATGACTTTTGGGCAGTAGAGCATTTGTTTTCAAGGAATTTAACTTAGGTAGATTAAACTCTGCATGAAAACAAGCCTTTTCCATGGGTCCAAGGTGCTACAGATAGCATTAATAGGGTAAGGTATTATACTTATCAATCAAAGAGTTGATGTACCTTACTCCCCCCTCCCCCAAAACACTAGAAAGTCACTGGGGGTAGCACCATTTAGGGAAATCTAGAAAAGTTAGAGACGGGACTTGGAGATGTCAGATTTGGGTAGGTGAAAGAAGATATTCTAGGTTTCTGAAGAGTATGGTGGAAAAGACCCAGAACAACCTTGGGTATGGTGTGTTTGGGTGCATTGTTTGATGTCTTCTTAGGACAGAAAAGTTGGTATGTCGGAGTCATGGGAAGCAGGGTTGGCTAGAAAAAGCAGATAGTTAAAATTTGTCTTGAATTAGAGACAAACATTTGCATTTGGTATGATTGTTGATAAGAAGGCTATAAGCAGAGAATAATGTGCTGAGAATATTGTTTTAGAAAGATGATAACAATGAATTCTGTTTGGGATGTGCTGATTAATAATGGAGTGCAGAAGTTCTGTTGATGAATGTGACTGAGGTTATAGGTGTAGGATGAGGAAATACATATACACACTAAGAGTGTCTCTGAGAATTCTACAGAAAACAAGTGTAGAATGGAATATAGAGCTGAAAGGAACATACTAGGAGAAGGAGCTCCAGGAAGTCTGTAGTTATGGGCAGAAAGGAATGTAATATGAATTCAAGAGATGGTGTTCTAAGAAAAAGATCATTGAATCTGGATAGAAAGTGTTCATTAAGTGGTCTAGAAATCACAATGAAGTAGTCAGCTTAAACAAATGAAAGTAGGACGTATAGACTCGTATAGAGGTTTTGGCAATTGAAGTAAAGTAAGATAATGGGAAAAGATTAAGATTAAAGAAAATCTGCTTAGATTCATGTATGTTTAAGAGCAGATAACGGGAAAGGAAGGAACAAAATGATGTGGTGATTGAAAATGTTGGTCTATGGGTATTATTCACAATCTGTTCTTTCATCCTAATTATAAAGTCATAGGTGCCCACTATAGAAAACTTGGATAATATGGAAAAATGCTAAGGAAATGTTTCCCAGATATAATAATTAATAACATTTCATTGTAATTCCTTCTAATCTTTATTTTTTCTATGCTTATTTTGGTGTAATTGAGATTCAGTTTTATATTTTGTTTCTCATTTCAAAGTTTTATTGATACAGAAGAAATGCTTATGTTTTGACATTTTAATGGCCACCTAGCATTCCATGGAACTGAGTTAATGTGCTGTTTCTGAACATGCAGGTTTTGTATTTATTTTCATGGTTATAAAGTCAAAATAGGCATCTTTTTGCATAAGTCTGTGCCTACATTTTATTTTACTTTATTTTGAACATTTTGCTGTTTTTTGGGTGGAAATTTAGAGAGTCTATTAGTTTCCCATTCAATAATTTGAACACATTTTGTTTTGTGACATTAGTTGCAATCCCTCAATGTAATAGCACACTTCCCACTTTCTCCCTGGGTTCCCTGTTCTATTCGTTCTTCTTTGCTGCCTCTTCTTGTCTTCTGAACTTTGTTTGACCAAATGCTGCCTTTTGGTCTCCTATGATTGTTTGTTCTGAGGAGTACATTCCTCACCGGTATTAATGTGCATTTTATAGGTCTGTTTTATTTGGCTGAAAATTGATTCCTGGGGATGGGTTTATTTCCAGGTTTTAAGGGTGGCTAAGAGCTCTGGTAGCATAGTGGCTAAGACACTTGCCTGCTAACCAGACGGCTGGCGGTTCAAACCCACCAGCCACTCCTCGGAAGGAAGGTTGGGCAATCCTACTTCCGTAGTGATACTGCCTCGGAAACCCAAGGAGGGGTCGCTATGAGTCGGGGCCGACTCGATGGCACATAACAACAACAACAACAACAAGGACCATAGTGGACTGCTAACCAGAGGGCTGATGGTTCAAACCCACCAGCAACTCCTCTGAAGGAAGATGGGGCAATCTGCTTCTGTAGTGATATTACCTTGGAAACCCAAGGAAGGATTGCTATGAGTCGGGTCCAACTCGATGGCACATAACAACAACAACAACAAAGGACCATAGTCTTGGGGGTTTCACATATTTCTATCAGACCAGTAAGTCTTTTTTTTTTTTTTTTTAATGATTTTTATTGTTCTACATTTTTTCTCTCACTCTGTCCAGGACCTTCTGTTGTGATCTTGATCAGAGTGGTTGGTAGTGGTAGCTGGTCACCATCCAGTTCTGATCTCAGGCTAGTGGAGGCTGTCGTTCATGTGGTACATTAGTCCTTTGGGCTAATTGTTTCCTTGTGTCCTTGATTTTCTTCACTCTTTTTTGCTCCAGATGCAAAGAGACCAGTAGTTGCATCTTAGATGGCTGCTCACAAGCCTCTAAGACTCCAGTCATATTCACCAGAGTAGGATGTTGAGCATTTTCTTTGTGGACTGTGTTATGCTAATTACTTAGATGTTGCCTGAGACTGTGGTCCTAAGCGTGAAAGCCCATTGACTCAGTCCCTCAAGGTGTTCGTTTTGTGTCTACATTTTAGACTAATTTCATAGAATTGATTTTTGGAAGTCAAATTACTAGAATAAAGTATTGACAGTTAAGGCTCTTCATACTAAAAAACAAGTAAACAAAAACTTCAACCAAACTCATTGCAGTTGAGTTGATTCCAACTCATAGACACTCTATAAGACAGAGTAGAACTGCCCATAGAGTTTTTGAGGCTATAATCTTTATATAAGCAGACTGCCACATCTTTCTTCTGTGGAGTGGCTGGTAGGTTTGAACCACCAACCTTTCGTTAAGCAGCCAAGTGCGTAACCATTCCACCACCAGGCTCTTGATACCTACTACTAAATTGTTTCAGAAGCTCCTATTAATAGGAAATGTAAATGATGGTGTATTTACCTGGTAACAGCTATGACTTTGTAAAGCTACTAAATATGGTTTATTCAGATTCTAGCTGAAGAAAATAAAGGGTGTAAAAGAGAAAGTCTTTTCAATACACATTTTTCTTTTCTGTTCCCCATGGAATCAAGAATAATAATGTTTGGCATAAGAAGCTACTGAAGAAAAATAGCTAAATAAACTAAATTTTTTTTTAAACTCTTCATAGGATATAGAAGACTTGGATCACTATGAGATGAAGGAAGAAGAGCCTATTAGTGGAAAAAAGTCTGAGGATGAAGGAATTGAAAAAGAAAATTTGGCAATATTAGAGAAAATTAGGAAGACTCAGAGGCAAGATCATCTAAATGTAAGTATGTGTAAATATCTAGAATCTGGATTTCTGTGGTTAGGTAAATTAATTATAGGTGATAATATAAAATATGGGGCAGTTAATTAATATAGGGATCACAGCTCCCCTTCTCCATGCCTGCATTGGTTGTGGGTTCAGCTACATGTTTTGTTGCCCTAGTTTACCTTTTTCATCTGTTTATAGAAACTTTCTCTGTTTACTTAGTTTTTTTTAAACTTTTTATTGTGATTTGAGTGAAAATTTACAGAGAAAATTGGTTTTCCATTCAATAGTTCATATGCCTTTTGTTTTGTGATGTTGATTGCAATCTCCACAATGTAATAGCCTTCTTCCAACATGTTTTCCCTGTGTTTAATGTTTCCATTCATCCTTCATGCCTGTCCCTTTCTACTTTCTGAGTTTTATCCCTGAGCAGAAGCTGTTCTTTTCATCTTACATGATTGTCCTAAGGAGTGCATACCTCTCTGGTGTTATTGTTCACCTTAAAGGCTTGTCTGTTATTTGTCTGAAAGTTTAGCCATGGGGCTGAGTTCAGTTCCTGGCTTGAAGGATGACTAATGGCCACAGGCTTGAAGGTTCTAGCAGTTTCTATCAGACCAGTAAGCCTAGTCTTTCTTATGTTTTTGAGTTTTATGTTTTACGTTTTTGAGTTTTGAGTTTCTCCCACTCTGTCCAAGGTCTTCTCTTGTGATTTCTTTCAGAATGGTTGGTCATGGTAGCCTGTTCACCTGCTCTTCACATCCTGAAACCACCTGCTGTTCCCTGTATTATCTCCCTTTCCATCTTATCTATGCTGTTTCTTATGGTTATCTTCCTTATAAGGGAGCTATATATTCAAATTCAACCCATCCTACGAAATGCAATTCAAATTCTTTCTCCCTATGAAGCTGACCTTTGATCTGCTCCACCTTGCCCTGAACAGACTAAAAGTAATTTTTCTCTTGAATTTCCATGAAGCTTTTATGTCCTTTTTGATTTAAAATTTCTTTTATTCAAAGCAGTACAGGGGAGTGAAATGGACACTGGGTCTGGTGACAAACACACTTGTGTGGCTTCAATTTCTTCAACTGTAAAATGCAGACAATATGTATATTCTGGATTGCCATGAAGAATAAATGAAAATGATATATATGAAATGCAAGGACAGAGTAGTTGTTGTTGTCATTTGCCATCAAGTCAGACCTGATTCACAGCAACCCCTCCTTGGGTTTCTGAGGCAGTATCACTATGGAAGTAGATTGTTCAAACCTTCCTTCTGGGGAGTGGGTGGGTATGAACCGCCAGCCTTCTGGTTAGCAGTCAAGTGCCTTAGGCACTATGCTACCAGAGCTCCTAGGACAGAGTAGAAGAACATCAAATGACAGTCTGGTGGCTATATCTTAACACTTACTCTTCCTGCCTTGTATTACAGAGCTATTTATCAACTCTATGAAATATGAAGACTGGTTCTTTGTCTTGAGCACAGGAGCACAGGTTCTCAAACACAGGGAATGAATTGTTAATGCAAGTAGATACCAAGTAAACAGATGACTTAGATTCCTTTAGTTTTTCTTCTTTTTTGCCAATTAATAGGCAAATCTTTAAAAAAAAAAAAATAATAATAATAAAGAAATTTAGTCCAGTCTATACCTTGATTATAAAAAAAAGTTTCTGACATCTGATTTCAAATGATACTTTGTGTCTTATGATTGATTCAGTTTGTTAATATGAATTACAGTCAGAGCAACTATAAATTACTGAATATTTTCACATGCTATGCACTACTCTAAATACTTTATACTTTATGTACTTTCTCTTTTCATCTAATGTCACACATTTAATGTGTAAAATAGGTATTCTTTAGATGTGAAAACTGGGGTTCAAATCAGGTAGTGTGTTCAAAGTCACACAGCTAGAAAATAATTTCTTTGTAAACTTGATTCACCCCCCCAAAGTATAGTACAGTGTTTAAAAATTTTAATTTTACGTTGCCAGAGTTGTGTTTTTTTTTTTTTTAAATCAAAAAGTATTCTTGTGTTTTTGATTTATGATAAATAATGATGTTCTTATTCAGTGTTATTAAGATGTGGCACATTTTCATTTTTAGAGACATCTCAACACTGAAAAGAACTGATATCAGTTATGTTGTTGTTGTTATGTGCCATCGAGTCGGCCCCGACTCATAGCGACCCCTCCTTGGGTTTCCCAGGCAGTTATCACTACGGAAGTAGGAATGCCCAACCTTCCTTCTGAGGAGTGGCTGGTGGGTTTGAACTGCCAGCCTCCTGGTTAGCAGTCAAGTGCCTTAGGCACTATGCTACCAGAGCTCTGGTAGCATAGTGAGGAGCTCTGGTAGCATAGTGGCTAAAGCACTTGACTGCTAACCAGAAGGCTGGCGGTTCAAACTCACCAGCCACTCCTCGGAAGGAAGGTTGGGCAATCCTACTTCCGTAGTGATACTGCCTCGGAAACCCAAGGAGGGGTCGCTATGAGTCGGGGCCGACTCGACGGCACATAACAACAACAACAATATCAGTTATGTGCAGGCAAATATGTTGTTTAAGTTCTTAATATATAAACTAGACCTTGAATATAACATTTTTGCTTATAGTCTTATGGTGAGAGGTTATAGTATTTTCAAAATTTGGTAGGGTTTGGAACAGACTCATAAGTTTTAGGTTACTGCAGGATGTATGGTAGTCTAGACTTTTTTTTTTCTTTCAAATAATAAAAACCAAAAACCTATTGCCATCAAGTTGAATCTGACTCATAAGAAATAGTAAAAGAACCAGACTTGTCTCTAATCTTATATTACTGTCAAAACTTCATAATCCTTCATTTAATTCAGTTTAAATTTTTAGTTTCTTAAAATGTTCAGTAGTGATCTATTGTTACAAGCTTTTTCACACTTTTATTTCAGGTTCAAGCACTTTAATCTTTAATTATTTGACTCAACAGATCTTGGTAAACAGTGAGTTTTATGTTTCAGGGTGCAGTGTCTGGGTCAGTGCAAGCTTCAGATAGGCTTATGAAAGAACTCAGGGACATATACAGATCACAGAGTTATAAAACAGGTAAGGACCTCGTGGTCTCTGCTACCTCCATTGTTCTTATGTTCTTTTCTATTCTTATATAATAAACTTCATTTCTTATAATCTGAACAGGAATGGAAATGTTTTACTAACTTTATTTTAGGATATGAAACTCAAAGTTACAAGCTACCCAAAGATGTAGAAGGTTAAAATGAAAGAATTTACCTTTTTATTGTTTTTATGGATACATCATTTAATTTTTTATCTCATTCCTGGTAGGGATAAGCCATTTGATTTTTATCTTCTGGGAAAAGCACAAGTAATAGCTGATTAGAAAGTAAATATATTTTATTATACAAAGAACTACTTTGGAGTTGATTTTTATGATTGTTTTCCCCTTTTTGGAAAACAACATAATCACTCTTATTTTAGAGGTAGTTATAATATTTTATGATAGAGAAAATACTGAAGCTGTCAAGGATTTCATTTTACTTGGACTCACAAACAGCAGTTAGGAAATCAAGCTGCATTCGGCAAATCTGCTGCAAGAGACTTCTTTAAAGTATTTCAGAAGCAAAGATGTTACTTTGAAGACTAAGGTATGCCTTACCTAAGCCATGATTCCCTCCCCCTCACACTCACACTTAGTTTATCTTTATAAAAATTATGGTTTTGGGGAAAGTTTACACAGAAAATTAAGTTTCCATTCAACAATTTATACATGCTTTGTTTCATAAGCCATGGTATTTTCAGTTGGCTCATATGCATGTGAAAACTATATAGTGAATGAGGAACATTGAAGAAGAATTTGATGTGTTTGAATAATGGTATTGGTGAAGATACTAAATATACCATATACTGCCAGAAGAACAAACAAATGTGTCTTGGCAGAAGTACAGTCAGAATGCTCCTTAGAAACAAGGATGGCAAGACTTCGTCTTACATCCTTTAGCCATATTATCAGGAGGGACCAGTCACTGGAGAAGGACATCACGCTTGGTGAAGTAGAGGATCAGTGTCAGAGAAGACCCTTAATGAGATGGATTGACACAGTTGTTGCAACAGTGGGCTCAGACATGGCAGTGGTTGTGAGGATGGTATAGGACTGGGTAGTATTTTGTTCAATTGTATTTGGGGTTGCTGTGAATTGGAACTGACTTGATGGCACCTGATGACGATGACAATTACAATATTACGTTTAAAATAGAATGAATTCTTTTCCCTTTCATAGTTTGACTTAAGAGTGTTCTTTTTTACCCAGTAAGACTTGAATATTGTGGCACCTTTCTGACTACAGATAACACTCTTCTATGTTGTTACAGTGATTTTAGCTGTATCACATAAAGGAAATAACCAGACTCTCATTTGTTTGAAAAGATAGCATTATGGTCCATTCAGAGATTCTCAAGAATGATCAAATCTAAATCATTAGAAATTTTAAATTAAAAAAAAAAAAAATCTGCTTCATATAGTACAAGATAACCTAACTTGTCCCTGAACCATTAAAAGTTTGAGATATCTTGCATTCTCAAACTTAAAAGAAAAGGATAGCAGATTGGCTATCCTTTTCTTATAAGCCTAAAAGTTATCTGTAGAAATGATAGTATAATGTTAAATATTTCTATTCTTGTTTATTTAAAAATGTTAAATAATTGCTTGTTTCAGCCTTGTTTGTAGTAGGAAAAAAGTTAATAATCTATAAAATCAGTTACTATAGAATTGTTAATACGATTGGTATAGACTTTGATATACTAACTTGGTTAGAAATTTATATTTTCTAATTTAGTATTAAGAAAAATTCTCTTTCTTGAAAGTTGGAGAAAGCAGAATGGAAAACAATATTGTAGAGAGTTTCCATTTTCGTGTAAGTGTTTGTATGCACATAAAAGAAAATTCTTAAATACATAAGATTTTGTTCTCTTTCTACCACTCACAGTCATTGGTAAGCAATTTTTCAAGTCACTAAGGAATTCTTTTAATTGCAGCCTTAATTATCTGTTAATGGCATAGATACTTGGCTGCAGTGGCAAAATATTTATAATATAGTTTACTTGTTCCTTGTTTAAATAGCAGAATTTGTAGCTGTTGTTGGCTGTTTAGAGTATACATTTACACCAAAGGAATAGTTACATGATCAAATGAAGCATAAATAACTTGCCCTATATCTTTACAGGGATTTATTCAGTGGAACTTATAAATGACAGTTTATATGACTGGCATGTTAAACTGCAGAAGTAAGTGGCCTTTTTATGCTAACTCACTTGTTGCATTGTTAAACTATCAAAATGGAGAATGTTCTTCCCTCTGATTTGATATGTTTATACAATGGCTTTTACTTAGTACTTTAGATACTGTCACAACAAAAATATTTCTTAGGTTGTTTAAAATGAGCTGTTTCTGAGGCCTAATATGGAAAGTGAGGAAGATGAAGGAGAAAAAAAGAGACTAGCTGTGGATAAAGTGTTTCCTGGAGTCCATGAGAGAGTGGTAGAACTTAGAAACAAAAGTATATTTAATAACTATGAGATTGGATGTGATACCTACTTTATAGCTTAAAATAAGAGATTTGAGTGAGACTTGGTTATGAAACAAGTTTTGTGTATGATTTGTAAATGGTCTTGTCTGTGGCAAATATTTTCTTTGAGCCCTTGGCTTATAATACAGTTTTAGGGAATAGATTTAATTTTTTTGAGTTCTAGGCATTGTAATTGTTGTTGTAGAGCTATATAGGATTTGAGAAAATTAGGTACATATGATCACAATTGTTTTCTTTTAGAATGACTGCTAACTTTGAATCCCCTTATGAGAATAGATTTACAGTGCTATGATCTCCTTATGGACATTTATTCCTGAGGGCCTGGTGGCTATAGTTACTTATTTTTCCTGGGGCATATAGGAGCTTTAGACCAACTATCTTTGATACTTAACTCTAGGGGCTCCTTTTTAGCTCTTGATTGTAGTGGGTTTACTTTTGAGGTCATAGTAAGAAAAAGTCTCTTACCTTTTTTTTGAACTATTTTTTGCTTTATGATTCTTAGGGTTGATCCTGATAGTCCTTTGCACAGTGATCTTCAGATCTTAAAAGAAAAAGAAGGCATAGAATATATTTTGCTTAACTTCTCTTTTAAGGTAAGAAAATAGTAATGAAATTTCCATATTGCTTCTAATGGGAATGTTTATTTGTACAACTGTTTGGGAACTAGTAGAATTGGTAAAGTAGAAGATATTGCTCTTGTGCTGGATTTTCTAGAAGAGAAAAATCATCAAAGCATACATATATATATATATAGAGAGAGAGAGAGAGAGAGACAGAGAGAGAGAGAGAGAGAGAGAGAGAGAATGAGAGAGAGAGAGAGAGAGACAGACAGAGAGAGAGATTGATTTAATTTAAGGAAATGGCTCACGCACACGTGGAGGCTGGCAAATCCCAAATCTGTGGATCGGGCAACAGGCTGGAGGCCTCTCCTGACTTAGACTTAATATTGTTGCAGGGGCTGAAAAACCCAAAATTGACAGGTTAGACAGCAGGAGGCAACTGGCCTGGAGGCAACTGGCCTACAGGGCTGTGGGAACTGGCAAATCCTCAGATCTGTAGGTCAGACAGTAGGCTGTTGGCTCATGTCCAGAGAACTGGAGGTCAGAGGATGACAGGTCAGATATAGAATCAAGGAAGAGCACTTTACCAGAGTATTCATGTATATTGGTTATAGGTCATAGCCCCAAGGAAGCTCTCTTACAAAATGGAGAATAATTACATAATATTGAGAATCATGGCCTAGCCAAGTTAATACATAATATTAACCATAATAAGCTACCCCTGTCAACTTGGCACCTATGTACATCTCCTTAAACCATACATAATCTCTAAATAAAAACAATTATAAAGTCATACTTGTACCTAACATGATACAACTAATGTGTAACTGAAAATGCAGTACCTTCATTTCCATGATACATTTATAAATAATGGGATAAAAGAAGAAAAGAAAAATGTTTATACATATACACACACATGTATAATAAAACAAGGAAGGAATACTCATAACAATTACAATCCTTGTTTCTGTAATTGAGCACATCGTCATAACTGGTTACCTTCTTGTACCACCCATTTCATATTCCCCTTATAGCAAGTACCTTAGCTGATCATGGTTCTTTGCCTGACCCAAACTTTCATTCCTGAAGGGTCTGAACCATTAGTAGTTATTTCAGAATTGCGTTGCTGTAGTTTTCTATTGACTTTAACCATAGGACATGCTAGAAGGCCTACGGGATATCCTATATTTTATGCATATTCTTCTTTACTTAAATTATGTATTATCAGTATGATTTCCTCTTAGTAATCAGAATCAGTCACATCAGCCAATATAGTAACTCCCTTGTTTGCCTCTTAATCCAGAGGCATGAAGAGTCCAAGTGACAGGATGACATTCTTAACTTCTTGTTGTTGCTGTTTGCGGTCGAGTGGGCCCCGACTCATAGCGACCCCTCCTTGGGTTTCCGAGGCAGTATCACTACGGAAGTAGGATTGCCCAACCTTCCTTCCGAGGAGTGGCTGGTGGGT